ATTAAAATTAAAATAAAAATAAAGAATAGATTGCAAGTGTATTTCACAGCAACCACTACACACAATTATCGTGCTTATGTAAAAATAATTCCCATGCCATCAAAATAATCTTTCATGCTGATAACGTATTATAAACTAGAGAAACAAAAGTTTTAAGTATATTCGATTTATTTAAGGGTAGATTAGTCATTTATTAATCTCGTTATAAGCCTATTTAAACATTTATTTTCTTGTATTTTCAATTAACTCATCAATGGAGAGACCATAGCTGCCCTTTCACTTTTCTGTCTACATTTTGTATTATCAATTTAACTTGAATCTCATAGAATTTATTGATCCTCCAGAAGAAAGTTATAAGGATGGCTATAGCCTCATTGCCGGGTAATTACTTGTCTGTCTTTTCCTTTTTGTCTAAGGAATACATGCATGCATATACATGTATATTTGCGTTGTACGAGGTGTGAAATACTTGGCTCAGTTTTGGATTTGTTTGAATTGGGTTTTGGTTTGTTTCTTGCTATTGGGTATTGTTTAATTCTTGCAATGGTGAAAGATCTGGATTGAAGTTTATTTGTATGATTTGTTGACAAATTAATTTTTGGGAGATTTTTAAAGTTGTAGATTAAATCAATAAGAAAGAGTTTTTTTTTTTTTTTTTTTTTTTTTGGGGAGTATTTGTTTATTTCGTAATGGCTAGAAGTCATGATGATTCTCTTCAGTCTATTTGTGTACAATTAAATGGGATAAATTATTTCTACTGGAATTAGGTGATGAAAATTTTTTGAAAGGCAAAAAGATGTGGGGTTTTGTTTCTGACACTTCTGTTAAACCAAAAAAATGATAATGTTGTCAATTATGTGGAGTTGGTAGATGATTGGAATCTGGTAACTCAAAGATTATCACTTGGATTGATAATTCTATTGTACAGTCGATAGACACACAATTGGCTAAGTATGATACAAACTCAAAGATTATCACTTGGATTGATAATTCTATTGTACAGTCGATAGACACACAATTGGCTAAGTATGATACTGTCAAGAAAGTTTGAAAACATCTTGCAAGACAGTACACACAATTTAATTTTGCAAAACAATATCAATTAGAGACAGATATTTGGGCTCTTCAACAAAAAAGTACGAGTGTTTAAGAGTTTTACTCTGCTATAACATATTTATGGGGTCAATTAGCACTCACTGAATCTACAGATTTACATGCATATTTTTTCCTATATCGCTTGAAAGGAAGAACAAAGATTGGTATGATTTCTTATGGATTAACATAATGATTTTGAGTGACTTTGTGAGACAATCTTGCATCGCAATCCTCTCCCTTCTGTTGATTCCGTGGTTAGTGAATTGTTGGCTGAAGAGATGTGCCTCAAATCTCATACAAATAAGGAGATAGCTCCATCATCTACTACTCCATCTATATTCGCAGTATCTCAGAGATCACAGACCATTAATCAAAGTAGGTCTTCTTCAACTGTTGTTCATGATGAATGTCAATTTTGTAAGTAGAAGGATCACTGGAAGGGACAATGTCCTCTATTATTGAATAAAACTCCACAGTAGCAACCCCAACGACAACAACAGTGGCCTCAACAAAAACAGCAGCGACAAGTTCTTCGACCCTGGAAATTTGAAAATCAACTACTTCAACCTAATACTACAGTGGCTGCACCATCTGTAGATCTACTCATGTTTGAGCAGTTTCAGAAGATTCTAGCAACACAATCAAATGCTACATCGCCATATGCAATGTCTGTCTCTTCTATAGATTTGTCATCTTCTAGTTCTTCAAGTATATCATCCTCTTTGTGAGTCTTAGATTCAAGGACTTTCTATCATGTCACCTAAGTTATCATTATTTGTTTCCTTATCTCCCAAATATTGTGTTAGTTGTAGCTACTGATAGTACTCATATGCCCATAACACGTGTTGGTTCTATTGATACACATAGTTCGTCTGTCAATGATGTCTACCATATTTCCAATCTTACATTAAATCTTGTTTCCGTTAGACCATCTCCAATCCCTACACCGAAATTTACACTATTTTGTACCAAATTTTGCTCAAAATCTTGTACAAAACTAAAAATTATATCCAACCCATTACACCAAGAGTTGCAACAGATGAACAGTGTTTAGTCATTTTCTTCATTTCTTTTATTTTTAACAATTTTATAGCTAAAAAATTATTATTTATTTGATTTACTACTACATAAATTACTACATACATAATTACGTTTTGTTTACAAAAATATTAAATTATTTAATATACTTTAAAAATGTAATACAATTAATAAAAATACCACAACTAAGAAAATATGAAATTATATTATTGAAAATAGTAGTACATTTCGAATCTCAAAATTATGGTGCAACAATGTTGACCCAGTTTCGTAATTTAATTCATATATTCATCCCACAAATATTCAATTAATGCATTTCGAAGTGCAATATGAACATCTTTATCCTTGATTTGTCTATGACGAGCAAGAAATTGTTGGAAATGTTGATTTTCGTCTTCAACGAACTCAACTTCCGGAGTAGGCACTTCCATCCAATCTTGAATTGGTGCATTAAGATCACGTTCGTCATCGACTATCATGTTATGCATAATAATGCATGTCATTATAGCATGTAATATACGTTTGTCCCAAAAATGTGCCGATCCTTTTACAATTGCGAACTTTGACTCTAGAACTCCAAATGCACGTTCAACATATTTTCTATATGCTTCTCATTTTATTGCAAATAAATATTTTTTTTTTGGGAACCGCGTGGCTTATGAATCTTTTGTACAATGATAGACCATTTCGGATATATACTATTAGCTAGATAATACCACATGTTGTATTGTTTCTGTTGAATGACATATTGAGCCGATGGAGTAATACCTTGAGGAGATTTGCAAAGAGATAGGATCTCTCCTAAACGTTGATATCATTGTTTGAGCTCCGAAGTCCAACATTTTGGAGATCCATTACAACGTGCAAAATGGAATGGTGTATGGGTTTGAGATGCCCCAAGTCAATTATAATCCGGATATTTAATCTCTTTTTCTTCTTGTACTTGTTATGTGCAGGACCTAAAATCTCATAAGTTAATTGGAATTGACCATAGGCAGGTGGGACTTTATGTTTTAGAAAAGCTTAAAAAACCAGAAATTGCGGTTTCTAGTGTTGAATTATCATCTTTTCGTTTTGAGTCCTTTGTCTTCTAGCTTTTATTTATGGCATTTTCGTCTTGGTCATGCTTCAACATCTCGTTCAAAATTTGTAGTTTCCATAGGAGCATTAAGAAATTCGATCACATATGATATTTTTTATTGTAGTGGATGCAAATTGGCTAAATTTTTTCCATTACCTTCTAATAAAAGTATACCTGTTTCTGTTGCCCCATTTATTCTTGTTCATTCTGATGTATAGAAACCCTCTCCCATTACCACTAAAGAGGGTCCACGATATTATGTCTTTTATTGATTATTACACTCGTTACTATTAGGTTTTCCTTATGAAACGTCGGTCTAACTTCTTTAGTAGTTTCAGTACATTTAGAGCACTTATGAAAACTCAACATTCTGCTATTAACAAAAGTTTTCGATGTGATTTGGATGGAGAGTATACGTCTAATGCCTTTACTACTTTACTTGCTTCTGATGGAATCATTCACCAAACTGCTTGTCCAAACTCCAGAACAAAATGGTGTTATTGAGAGGAAATATAAACATCTTGTTGAAATTGCCCATTCGCTTTTACTCTTTGCTTCTCGTAGTGAATTTTGGAAAGAAGCAATTCTTGCTACTGTTCATTTGATTAATAGGATCCTAATGTCACACAATTCAAGTTTATCTCATTTTACGATGTTCTATCGATATGTTCATGATTATTTTTCCTTATGTGTCTTTGGCTCTACTTGTTGAGGGGAGATGTTAAATATATTTGATTTATTTAAGGGTAAAATAAACATTTTATATATCTCTTTGTAAGGCTATTTAACCTTTTTATTTTCACGCATTTTCTATTAGTTCATCAATGAAGAAGCCCTATCCTCCCTTTCACTTCTCTCTATATTTTGTATTATTAATTTAACCAAAAAAAAAAAGATAAAAAAAAAATAGAGAAGTCAATAAACTTATATGTTTTATTAAGAACGAAAACTCCATATTTATAGAGAAGAACTACAGATACAATGGTAGTAAGATTTTTACTAATAATCATATTTTTTACAACATTAACATCTATAATAGAGGTGAAATAATTAAAGGTTACACAGTGGCTGAGTTGAAACAGGCTGGACACTATGGCCAGGCGTTTGAACCAAAAATAAAATAAAATAAAATCTATTAAGCACATAGGTCAGTCTCGGCCTGGGACACTTAGAGACGGGTCTGTCTCAACCCGGCCTACAGGGAATAAATATTTTGTGAGCCAAGTAAAACTCAAATCAGCTTAGACCCATAAGCAAGATCTTTATGCAACCCAATCAGTTCCGACCAACTCAATTGACATTCCCTTCCCACATCTGAGAAGTAAATCCATCTTCTAAACTCCTTGTTTGGAAGTGATTATTTGAAAACCATATTTTCACTCACTCATTTTTAACCACACATTTTTCTAAAAATTTATTTTTCACTTCTTCCAAATAACTTCTTCCTAATTTTTAACTATATATTCTCCAAAATTCACTTTTCAACTCACATAAGCTGATAAGCACTTCCATAACACCTCACATTGTGTTCCCAATTACCAAAATACTTTCTCAACACTCGAACAAACAAACGGAAAGAGAAGCGACTCACAAAAACAGGTATACAGAAGTCTTGTATTTGAAATGGGTGGCAGCAGCACTCTCTTCCAAAGAAAAAATCCCAAATATCAAGGATTGATACATTTCACTAAACTTCTTTCTAATAGGGATAGTAACAAGATATTTTTTGGTATAATTTAGAAAATAAAATCTTGATTATGCTTCATCATTTACATAAAATGAAAGATTAAAAGAACAAAGGCAAACCGGTAACATTATTTTATCTCTAGAATACATGCACGACCAAGCAGATAACAGAATTGTCTTCTAGAAATTGTACATAACATCTGTAGTAGAATAATGAGATTCCCATAAACAAAAACAAAAATTGATGTCAAAGAATAACTAGCATAAAAACGACCATTTACATGAGCACTAACCAATTTATTCCAGAGGCACGAGACATCATCCTTACAGCATCTGCATTGAAGTATTTGAGATGATCAATTCCAGAAAGTTCAGTTTGATTAATATTATTACGATTGCTTTACTTGTAGAATATTGATTGCAGAAGAATAAAATACCTATTATAATTAATTGCGGAAGACTAAAACAATCAGAACAACCAGAGTACCAATTACTTGTAATAGTACCTTGTTTGGAACAGATTGTTCCAAGTGAAAAATGAATTTTTAAAGAATGTTTGGTTGAAAATGATTTTGGAGAAAATGATTTTAGAAAGATCTGTACCAAACAATTGTAGCCAACCCTATCGTTCTTTGTACTGCACGCTTTGCTTCAAAAGTTCACTTATAAGTACATAAATAAGTTTTAAAATAAATACTTTTTTTTTTCGTCAAAGTTGGAAATAAGCATGTACTTGAATGAAGGCATACAATCGCTAAATACTAAAATTACCATGCTTACTTTTTTTTTATAAATAGCAACAAATAACCTTGCATAGATATGCTTGATTTGAATCTTCATGGAGTTAATGGTTCTGGAAGTGGAACGACTGCTTCGAAAGCTTCAACAAGCATTGACACCCTTCTTTTCCGCGCTGGAGTTAGTTTTGTGACAATATGTTGGACTGCATAATCTAGCATCCATTGCTCAGCCTTTTTTCTCTCGTCCATCATTTCATGCCTTAAGTCAGCTTTCTCTTGTTTGGGATCAGGCATAACCGAGAGTTGTTGTGGTGGTTGCAGGTTAAGTTTCCTTGCCTTCTCTAATGCTTTTAAGGATCTCTTGAGGAGGATTAGCTTTTTCAGCTTGCTCCAGTTTTTGGACTTCAGTGGCTCGGGTCTTCTGGCTGACTTCATTTTCCAGTCTTGTTGATCAACTGAAATTCCACCTTCACGTGTACATTGTGTCTCATTTTCTTGGTTAAGACTTTCTGAGAACTCCTGGTCTGGATTAAAGTCACTTGTAACTGACTGAGTATCAGATGAGTCGTCTTGAATTTCTGGAAGAAGGATCTCATCTAATGCCTCTTGGACGAGTTTGACTGCATCAGACTTGGTAAATGCACTATTCAAATGGCTAGAAACACGGTTTTCTTTGACTGAGTCATCATCCGATTTGAGGAAAAAATCACCCTTGCTTATTTTAGGCAATTCATTACAATCTTCTACTTCATCATCATCTGTTCCATCAAGAAATTGGCTCCCAACTTTCTCAGCAATACCTGATACCACATGCTGATATATCGAATGCCACATTCTGATATGGTTTTGTCTTTCCAACTGGATATTGTGTGATCCATTCTTTGTCTCTGACTCTTTGCTATCAGATACGGTATCTTCTTGAAATCCTCTGAGTTCTGGCATAACTTCTTGGTTGGCCTCACCCCTTACTTTCGTTTCTAGCTCAAGCGTACCACAATGAACAGCTGATGAGATAGTATCCTCAGTTGATAATCCATTACCATCTAGAATCAAATTTTTGGATTCACCACTTCCATAATCTGGATCTTGAGTCTCTATGTTTCCAATGGTCGGGAGGAAATTACCAGTTGGAAACTCAGAGTTCAAACAAACAACTGTATCCTTTTGAATTCCCTGTAAATTGTGTTCAAGTGCTGTTTCACCATTATTAGATTTCAATTCAAAAATATCTTGGGCCTCTTTGTTTGGGCTATTTTCTTTTAGAACAGACTCGCCCACTTCATGGGTAATGCCGGCAAATTTTTGGCTATTATCTTCATTCGGTGTAACAACAGTTTCAAAGGCCTTTATTAGCACAGACACTTTCCTTTTCTGAGTAGGGGCAAGCTGACTGACTGCTTGGCGCAGTGCATAATCAAGCATCCACTCCTCTGCTTTCTTCCTCTCTTCCACTGTTTGAGGCCGTAGGTTGACTTTTTCCGATTCAGGGTCAGGCTTCAAAGGCAGATGTTGTGGACTCGTTGGATTAAATTTCCTCACTTTTTCTAATTCTTTGATGAATCTTTGAAGTAAAATCCATTTTTTAAGATTACTCCAATGTTTTGGTGCTTTCTTCTCAGATTTGCTTCCAAACTCTTTATCAGTTTGCACCATCTCTTGACCAGAAATATCATTATTGTTGAGACCTACCTCTTTCAAATCAGCTGGCGCATCACCCTCCGCCTTATCCGACTCACATTCTGTGGAACTTTCTTGGACACTACCTGTGGAAGTAGAGATCATCAGATCCTCCAGGTAAGTTAAAAGAGGTAAAGGAAACCTCCCACCCCCAAAAACCAGCAAAACGTACACACACAAAAATATCTATAATTGGTACAACCTAAGCACCGATGTTCATTAGATCATTTCTCTCAGAGTCGTTAATGGTACCAATTAATTGGTGTGCCATGTCACCGGTGATTTAACATAAGCTAAGGACGGGTACTCATTAGATTATTTCTCTATATATATACACACACACACATATGCAGAGAGAGAGAGAGATGCAGTTCCCTACCTTTGTGTTCATTCTTTTCAAAGAGTTCTTGTTCATGAGCGGTGTCGCTTGTCATTGACTGATCATCAGATGTCTGGTCTTGAACTTCTGGAAGAAGAATCTTCTCGATTGCTTCTCGGACTAGCTTAACTGCAAAAAGCTTACGGACTTCAATATCATCTAATTCATAATTGTTGTTCAGTATGCCCCTATCAGAATCAGAAAAATTCCTGGACGATGCTGAACTTTCTTTTGCACGCAATACATTGGAACCATCATCGTCCTGAAGTGGCTTGTTTTCAGATTCTGCAGCCATACTTTCTGCCATATGCTGATGTATCATGTGCCACATGCTGATATGCCTAACTTTGTTGAACTGAGTTTTGTTTTCTTCATGAAACCGAGTACTAACTTCTGAATTTTTAACGTGCACAACCTCACTAGATTCAGAATCTTCAGCGTGCATAACTTCAGCTGTGAATTTCCTTTCTGATTCAGGATTTCCATATTTTGAAGTTTGATCATCTGAAGTTGAAAACATCACACTGTTACTTTCTGTAACTTCATCAAAATGGTCTGGAGTTAATGCATTCTGTATGTTGGGTTCATTAAAATCACATTCTGCTCCATTAGAAGTCGCAGTCCCCTTATTGTCGGCACTAAATTGTTCATCTGCTTTTAAGGAAATGGAAGATGCAGCTGTATCAGAAAAATCAGTAGCTTTGTACCCATTCCCAAGATTTGAGTCGAGTACTTGAGGGCGTGGTAAGTCTACATCAGCTGTTCCTTTGGACTCATTTGGTTCCATTTTAATGCTAGAGCACTTCGAACATAGAATTCCTTGCTTTTGTGTACCATAATCCATGACTCGGTTAAGGCTCTCCCGGTAATTTTCCTCAGGGTTTGATGTTTCACCAAATGCAATTTCGACAAGATCTGACTCTTGAATGCTGCTGTACCCATCTCCAACTAGCTGAGTTTTGGGTGTAGTCTTGATCTCTGTACCAGAATCCATGACATATGAAGCACTAAGCCAAGGTGTTTCACTCATTTTTACTTCTAATGCACACGAACTAGAGGTATCCCCCTCATAAGAGGTGGCTATACTGTCACTCTCTCCTTGCACCAATTGCTGCAAATTAGAAATCATTTGCCCTTTCTGTAGATCTTTCTTTTTATCCCTAGAGCTTTTTGTGACAGACATGGAATCAGATTTGGGTTTCGTGCTCTTTTGTTTCTTCAACGATCGTCTTTTTTTGTACAAGAGGCGCTTTTGTGGAGGAACAGGATCATGGGCCTCATTGCAGTGTCCATGAAGAGAACAGTGATGGTATCGACAAACTTTCATTACTGAAGTCTTTTCAGACTCAACTTCCTCAGGAATATGCTCAACCTGCTTGGCAAACTTCGAGTCCTTAAGAGTGGAAGAAAATGTTGCTCTATCAACAATTAAATCCTGAGAAACTCGAGAGTATTTTAAGGAAGACCTCTTGGGTTTAAAACTCGTTGTCTTTATTAGAATTTTCACATTTCTAAGGTTCAATGCTGTCAATGAAGTTTGCAAAGATCCAACACTGGGTGAAGCCACATTTGATTGTGAAGAATGCGAACTGGTTTGATCAGTATTATCAAAGCAAAATTCAGAATTCTGCTGACTTTCCATAGAATTCGCCTTTTTCCCTTTCGAAGAAGTAGTTGCCTTCATGTAACGTGGTGTTTCATCAGATACTTCAAGCGAAGATTTCAGTTGAGGCGTTACTAGATCATCAGACATGTCCTTGGAAATCTGATCCACAGCTCTTGATCTAGCCCTTCTCCTGAATGTTTTTAGATTCCTAAAGTTTTTCAGTGTCTTCTTCTTGTTAGTTCTGTTCTTGATTCCCATATCCCGGTACGGACCAGGCAGTCCATTAAAAGCAGATCCCTGAGTTGAAGAACTCAATGAAACGTTTTCATCACATTCACTTCCAGCCTGATGACACAGATCATAGAAAACTCCAAATCTTACAACATGTTTAAAAGCTATTCAACCTTTAAAAAAATAAAAATAAATAAATAAATAAATATAAAAAAGGTTTAAAAGCTATTCGGTTTCAAGATTAGTATTACTCCAAAATCCCACCCCCTCCCCCAAGCAAATATATAGTAATAATAACCAATAAATAAATCTTGGGAATGCCCCCAAGATGTGCTAATTTGAAGAGAACAAAAATAATTAATTTTCACTTAAGAAGATATATAAAAATATAAATAAATAAATAAATAAATATAAAAAAGGTTTAAAAGCTATTCGGTTTCAAGATTAGTATTACTCCAAAATCCCACCCCCTCCCCCAAGCAAATATATAGTAATAATAACCAATAAATAAATCTTGGGAATGCCCCCAAGATGTGCTAATTTGAAGAGAACAAAAATAATTAATTTTCACTTAAGAAGATATATAAAAATAACACTACTTAAAGGAAATAAAGTTATTTTCTTCCGTTCATCATAGTTGTTAAATACCCAGAATCGAAAAACAATGGAATTTAATGCTTTAAATTCATAAAAATGGAATCAAAATCAATTTCAAGGAGTTGAACTTACAGGAGAATTTTCTTTCTTTTCATCAAAATTGCTTGTGGCCCTCTTGTAATCTGGCGATGAATCCATCAAAGTTGCTTTTGCTGCAGACTTGAATTATAAATCAAACAAAAACAGTTTAAAACACCGGTTCAAGAAGATTCAACTGTCATCAATGCCCAATCTGGGCAGCAGAATTTTTTTCGAATCTTTGCAAATTCTTGAGCGTATTTTTTTTTTTTTTTTTTTTTTTTTACAGAAACAAGACAACAAGAAACAGGGCAGATGTAAACTGGTACAGATCCAAAAAAAATTAAGATTTCGGGATTATATGACTGAAAATACTATAAAGTTTCCAAAGTTTGATTTTGTATTCAAGCTGGTTGGCGTTTCTTTTTAAAAATTACAGCAGCTTACGTCTGAAAAATGGTTGGAATTTGAACTTTAAAAAAAATTGGTGTTTGACTAAGTTGGCTGATTTGACTCACTCCATTTGCTGAAAGGGGTCGCAGTAATTAGACATTATAATTGGAATTTGACAGATAGCTTCTTGATTGATGCCATTTCTCCCCTTATGTCGTGCACATGCTGTTCTTATATTTTCTTCAAATGAATTATTCATATTTCGCAAATAAAATACATTTTTTGATATTTTTAAGAATGGATCCAAAAGCCTACGCTGGCTACCTGTGTCGGAATTTATTATTATTTAGAGCCAGTTTGACGACCATTTTGATAGAAAAAGAGTTTTGAACAATAATTTTTAAAAGAGTATGTAATTAAAAAGTCGAAAAAGTTTTGATATAAGTGTATAATATTTTATTGTGCAAATGTATTGTTAAAAATAATCATATATCAAATAATAAAATAAATTAAAGAATGGCAAATAGACACTTAATTTTATCAGCCTATGTACGTAGAAACGAATTTAGGATTGGAAAAAAAAAAATTAATTGTAAATTTAAAAAAATAAAATAAAATTGGACTTGTATGTGAAATATTCTAAAAAGAAGAAATATTTTTATATTAGAAAAAATTTAATGGGCTGTGGGCTAGTCTTGGCTTCTGCCACTCTCTATAGGTAGATTGCCGTTATTGTCAATTTTTTTTCTCCATTTAATTACACATTTTAAAGAATTATAATTTTTATTAACTTTTCAATTATATTTCATTAATTCTTATCTAAAATTTAATTTTTAACTAAATCAAATAGAGTGAAATATTTTATTTCCCATCTTAGGACATAGGTCAATTGTTGTCCTATATTTATTTCACGGATTACTCGATAGACTTAAGATATGTTTAAAATAAAAATAAAAAAATAAAAAATTTGAGGGTTGACATTTTGAACTGAGTTGTTACATGAACGACTTTATTAGCAATTAATAAGAGTTTTTAAGAATATAACGGCTTTCTACTCGATTAATAAATAGGCTTCTCATTAAAAACATTTACAAGAGCTTATTAATGAGTTAAGTTCGAAACGTTCATCCAAAATCTTAATTACTACATCCGTCCTATAAAGATAGGTTTGATTTTCTTTTTCGTTTCTCCCTAAGAGCAATTCTATTTAACCCCACTAATGTTAAAACATCAGTATAGATGACGCTAGTTGTTATTTAATTAAAGGTGCAGTAAATAAATTATATAATTTTACCTTTTATTTGAATATATCACATAATGCCACATAAATTGATGCAATAGCACTATTACTGATAATAGCATTATTCCTCCCAAATTATAAATAACTTTCCTTATTGAAAATATATATATTTTTAGTTTTCTAATATACACCTATTTAATGTAACTTGTTATAAACAAAAATAAATTAATCATATTTAAATAATTATTTGATGTAGGGACATATTAGGAAAAATGTAAGAACATTTTATATTTCCAACTATATTAATTATATTTTTTTTAATATGTGAAAGAAAAAATAGAAATAAGCCTATCTTTATGGGCGGATGTAGTATTTTACTTGAAATAGGTCAGTTAGTTTGCCTCGATCAAGCTGCCTTATTTCACCGTTGTGCAGCACGTTCAATCAAAGTCTGGTTCTACCAGGCGAGTTCGAAGAGAAATCGAACTAGTTCCACTCAAATTCATCCACTATAAATTTCATAGATCAACAATGTTAAAACTTGAGTTGCTTGCTAAAATGACAAAGGAAACCTATATAATAAACAGGAAAATCATATTTACCTATTAATTTAAAAACATTATATGATAAGCTATGCCTCTGTTTGTTTGCCTCATTGAGTGTAATATATTTTGGAATAGTGATTTTTTGAAAAATATACAGTTAAAAAATTAAGTAAAATTTTGAAATTTACATATAAAATTATTTTATGCGAGAATTCGTGATTGAAAATTAGTTTTATATATTTTTATTGATAAGCACGTGTGTTGCACGTCTTATATATTGGAAAACGATACATATAATGTTTTTTTTAAGTGTTAATACTATTTTTGAAAGTTATAATGTGTTTTTTTTAAGTACTAATACTATTTTTAAAAGTAGTAGTAGTAATTAATATTGTTAAAGGAAAAATTAAAATTATTAAAAAGAATATATATGAAAAAAAAATTATGAAATTATGTATCTAATGTTAAAAAGGTTGAATAAACTTATGTAATGTTTTTATTATAATGACACTTTTTTGTACACAATATTTTTTGTTAACATCCTACAACTTTTATTCTTTTTTATTTTCTACTTTACGAAGACTTTTGTCTTTTGCATTGAAACTCCACGACGAAGTGTGACATATAATTGCCTATGAAAAAATATATGTTTAGGAAGGTATATTCCAACAGTTGATACTATTTGTCCTTGAGTATTGTTAATGGTCATTGAAAGATGTATTGAAAATTGTTTCATCTTGAATTAAACTTTTTGATGCGAACCCGTGAGCAACGAACACTCACGAACCCATAACGAGATTGCTACAGTTCCCAAGAATGTCAATAATCGCCGATTTTGGATTTAATCCCTAAACAATGAACTAGGCAACCGTAGATATATTAAATCTACGACCTCCTAATCACAAGGCTTACGAATCTCACCCAAATAATTGTGAACGCCACAAGATTTGTTAAATCTTGATAAGGTTGATAAAGTGAAGCATCACGCCTCGAACGAGAGAACTCTCAATTTTCATTCATCATAAAACTTGTTACAATATGAAATAAAGGAACTTATTTATACTAAAACTAAAACCCTAGAAATAATATAAAAAAAGGAATAAATTCTAAAACCCTAATTTAATAACGTAAAACACGTCTCATAATATGGCAAAAATATCAAAGATAAGTCTTCTAGTTAAACTTGGAAACTCGCGAATTTCTGGCTCGAAATTAATTGTGTGACTGCATGGACAAATTCGATGCTGTAGCATGGTTCAATTGCTTGACGCCCAATTTTTCCCTGTTGGCTTCCGTGCGACCGCGTGAAGGTACTGCCTTGCGGTCGCATTGCTATTTAGTTTGGCTCCGACTTCGGCTTCTTTCACAAGTTCTTCCACATTGATTTAGACCTTGGCCCCAACATCAAACTTGCACTTTGGATCATCGACTTCGACCTCATGTACTCCGTGGCTCAGGCTATTGATTGTATTGCTCGAATCAACCCCATTTGGCTCACAATTAAGCTTGAATTTTGATTTTAACCCTTTGACCACATTCAACAAATTCTCAATCGATTCGGGCCTTCTCTAGATCACATTATCCCCTCTCTCTTCGAAAGGATTCAACCTCGAATTCAAAGCTTGAACATCTAGATTGTAGCCCTTGTCTCCAATTAATGCAAGTAAGTGAAATGGTCTACCATCTCTAGGATGAAACTTGGACCTCTTTTGACTTCAAATCCGCCTCTTCCTTAAATAAATCCAATCACTGTCACATATATCAAAATGCTTACGCCTTGACGTTTTCTTTTTGCAAGTATAGGATGCTCAATAATAACTTCAATAGATGGATCGTCTTGCATCCTCGTTGTCCTCTTTTGCATAGGTACTTGTAATAATGACAATTCCAATGGATGCAAGTTTTTCGGCATATCGCCTTAGCATTTCAATCCAGTGCATATGAATTCCTTTCATGGCAATTGTTGTACCTCCTCAGGGATTACAAATTCACTTGCAGTGGTAAGAGGGTGTCCCAGCTAGGATGTCTTTGCTGAATGCCATCCTCCAACTGATGATCAATCCCCGGGTTGTAAGGGATCCTAGTTGGCTCACCTTCATGGGGTAAGTTTTCAAAGTCCTACAAAACATATATAGCAAAGTTGGGGAGGGAAATATTAGTTTTCTCCAACGACTCCCTTAACTTCACGCTCCCCTTATTTTAAGCTCACTTTCAACTCCTCCTTCCCCATCGAAAATTCTTCTTCATTTTCTTTCTGCAACTCTACTTCCCCTTTTTTATTTTCACGCTCAATTTCTTTTTCACCCTCTTGTGGCATTTTTCCTTTTTCCTCAAAATCAACCACCTCACTATCTTCTCTCGAACTCTCTTTTTGTGGAATACTTTTCTCACCCTTTTCCCTCAATCTCCTCTCTGCATTATTTTTTACCGTGCATTGATCCTCATATGCTTGTCGCGGTGTCAACGATGCAAGCTTAATATATCTCCCATCCTTGGTAAAACTATAGCGATTTGTGACTCCATCATACATCGCCTTCCTACCACACTTCCATGGTCTACCCAACAAAATGTGACAAGCATGCAATGGAATGATGTCACACAACATCTCATCGTGGTACCTTCCAAGTGAGAAACTTAACTTCACTTGCCTACATACTCTAACCACTGCACATTTATCCAACCACGACAACTTATAAGGTTTTGGATGTGCCATCGTTTTCAATCCTAATGATTCGACAACCGTATTGCTAACAAAATTAGTGAAACAATCTCCATCAATAATTAAATTACATACCTTGTCTTCAACATGGCATCTAGTTTGAAAGATCTTTCCTTGTGATTGCTCCACATTTTCCAATTTGATTGCTGTATTGATAATACGCTTCAACACACTTGTTTCTCCCACGACCGAGTTATCAAATTCATCAACAAGATTTCTACACTACTTTTCAATCATATCCATCCTATCTCTTAAATCCACCATCATCTTCTCAAATCGTCGCATCATCTTTTAAGTCATTTTGAATTAAATTCCAATTGGGTTGTGGGTAAGACTTGGGAATTTTTAAAGACTCAAGAATTGGATAGCAATTTGGAACAAATTATGAAAATTTAAGAAGTGGTCTTGAATTTCTGACTGACTGAACAACTTGAAACTTTAATATAAGTTCAAGAAAGTGGTTCTTGAATTTGGAATAGACATAATAACAATTTTTTTTGACTATTTTTTTTTTGACAAATTTTTTTTCCCGGAATAGTAACCCGTGAATAGTAGATGTGAACAATAATTTTTTTTACTCCCTAGATAGAAAAATAAAAAGATGACTCAAACGCAACAAAAAGAAGTTGTTTTGGATGCAAATTGAATCTAAAAACTACTTTTGAATTTGTTTTGATATT